CTGGTGCCAGGAGCTAACTCGGAGGATTCCTAGGAGAAGAAAATCCCTTTTAGTTTGAGAAGGAGCAGGGCTAACTTAGCAGTCAGCAGTTCAGCATTGGGTGAATGCCCTGTGCTTTCCTAGTTCCTAGACCTTTGCAAGGCTGCAAGCATTTGGGAAGAGGGTGGGAAAGTTAATAAGTTGGTTGGAAATCCAGTCCAGACACTATGGAAAGTGCTGCTTTGGAGGCTGCTGTTGGGTCTTAGCTTTGAGTCAGAGCAATTAGAAGGGGGTTGGAGGGAGACGTGGAAACCACCAGAGTCCTGAGCTTAGCCCAGCTCCCCACATTATCCTTCTCTCCTTCCCAGAAGACTTTGCTTCAGGGAAAACAAAATAATTTTGATGGAGCTATTATGTTGGGCTACTGTAATTTCAAAGCTAGTTAATGAGGTTGTTTCCCGGTTGCCAGCCTTACAGGGAACGAGCTTTAGCGTTAGAACCTACTGCCCTGAGGTGCCGCACGTTAAATTCAGGGGGGCGCCGTGAGATAGTGTACATTTTCGAGGGAAACCCAACTATACTTGACATCTCTGGGATACCCGAGAACTACTAGCTCCAGGTGTGAAAGGTTCACAGTTTCAACATGAGACTGTGTTTCATTCATTCCTTTCAATGCCGTCGTATTGCAAAGCTGGGTTTTGGGCTGCAGCTTTGATAAAAATGGAGACGCTGGTGAAAATCAGCGTGGAGTAGGGAGTTGCGGTGAGGGGTGTCCAACCGGACTCCAAACTTTAAGAAGTTGTACAGTGTCAATAGTTGTTCATAGCCCATGAATAAGTAATTATGATCATTTAAGTAAAAATGTTTTTTCTATTTATATATATATAAATTTTTTTACATGTTTAAATTGTTAGGGCACGAATACTTAGTAAGTTGTTTGGATAAAAATGTTTATATATATATATATAAATTTTTTTTTTGTTATATAAATTTTTGTTTTGGGAGAATTTAGTAAGTTGTTTGGATTTCATTGCTTCAGTTGCAGGGACTCCTTTTGTCCTAAGGGAGCCATAAGAGGTTACCCCTGCCCTGTGGGGACCCGTGTACCCAGAGAGTTTGGGAGCCTTTAATCAGTGAGAAAACTCCCAAAGATGTGAATTTAAATAGTCAAACATAGTGACAGCGGTACAAGAGAAATAAAATAAACACTTTGCTTGGACATTTTCTAAAGTAAATTGCTTAATTTTTCTGATCATAAAATTTATATGCATTATTATTTTTAAAAATCCAGAAAGGTGAAAAATAGAAAATGAAAACCTCTATATTTCCACCCTTTTACCGCCTTCCAGAGATAATAGCTGTAACTTTTGGTGGGTCTTCTTCAAGACCTTTTTTCTGCTTATTACTTAAGAATATTAGCTACTTTATAAAAATTGATGATATAAATTTTTGTTTTATTGCTCTTTGAAATTGACTAGATTACAGCTATCTTTTCATGTCCACACGAATAGGGTTATAATCACATATAATGCATATATTTCACTTCAGACAGATTTATAACACTTTCAAGGGAGAAAAGCCTCTGGATTTTTGAACGTTTATTACGAACTGTAGGGGGATTCCACTCTTGGAGTAGCTCAACTGTGCCCCCTTGTGGCCTGATGTGATATTTAACATTTTTCTTCAAATGTGCTGAAGGCCTTCTATTCTGACATGCAGTATACAAAGGCGAATGAAGTAAGATTAGCAGCTCGCCGTCTGTAAGAGGAGATGCAGTGTATAATCAAGTACCTGTTAAAGGAAATAAAACATTAATTAAGGACCATAGGAGAGCTACAGTGAAAATCTCATAGGAGGAAGAGGTGAGTCCCTCTGTGAAGACTGAAGATCTGGTAGCACGCTCGCAACTGCAGCAGCAGCAACGATACAGGTAACTTGTACTGAACGCTTATAGACCAGAATCTGCTCTTTGCATTTTCTAAGTAGAAAAGATGGGATTCCTCTTATTGAGGCCTTTAAACATGGGTAGGATTTCGACTTGGAGGGGTGATGAAAGGTGGAACGAGGGCAGGAGACACCCCTCCAGGTGGGGGACTGCAAGGGGAAAAGCCGGGCAGTCTGTGCCGAGAGGAGGGGCCTCGCAGATTGCTGCCCTGAGTTGGGAACCGACTTCAGAAAGGGGTGAGTGCCTTGAATCCCAGGCTGAGGAATGTGACCCTGATTCTCTTCGCCAGCAATGGGGACCCGTGATGCAGTTTTTTCTTTAAGTCAGGGGAGTCATTTTATCAGAGCTGGACTTTAGGAAGACTTGCTTTTCAGCAGCGTGACAGACACGAGACTCCAGGTGGAAGGGCCAGCGAAGAGGCTGCTGCGGTGACCCAGGCCAAGACACGATGCCACCCGGAAGAGGGGCACCAGAAAACAGCGAGGCGGGGAGAACTCTGGGCCTGGTTAGGAAGCCGGCAATGACCGGGTCTCTCTTCTTTAAGTTTCCCATGTTTGTTATTCTTGCAAAGCCACAGTAACTAGTGAACTTTGAGTGGAGGTCTTCATACCCAATGGCCTTATCCGACACGAACTAAATACAGTGATTCACCAGCCAGTCTCCATGTGCTGACTTTACCTATCTCCTCCAAGAAGACGCTAGAGGGACAGCAGCTAGATCACATTAATAGGCCTCTGATTGGGTCATTTTGACCGAGCCCCAGTCCTCAGGTGGGGCGCATTATTCCTGGCTGTTTTCTAAGTTTGCGATCGCGGCATGGCATTTGGGCAGTGGGATCACAGTACATTTCTCTCTCCAGGGGGCATCAAGGCAGAGGGAATTTGCCAAACCTGAACAAACAGGATTTGGATCCGACCCCAGGAGCCCGATGCCAAGCACGGAAGATCACTGGGACTGCGGGGTCAAGGGGCTGCTGTTCGGCCGCCATTTACAAAGATGAGACAGTTCTCTAAGGTGATTGGAGTTTATTTTGTCTTCCAGAATCATCCATTTTTTTACGTTTTATTGATAAATGCTTCTAAAAGAAATTCTGTCTTTGATACAATAAGTGCCGAGAGCAGGGATTCTCAAAGAAAGCAAGGCCATCAGTTCGCTGGTGAGCCACTGGGATCTTGTCATGGGCTCTGGCCTATCCGATAAATGTAGAGGATGTTGTTTTATAATAAAAGTCAGGTACATAAGCTCCTATTTGTCTCTAGTGAAGCGAACAATAAATGATTCGGATATCTTCCTCCCACTTTTCTGTTACTACCGGCTTCCCCATGTATATGTGTGGGCATGTCCCTCCATAGTCTGAGGGTCACCAATGTGGAGAGACTTGGTTATAGCCATCACCTTTTTTTTTTTTTTGCATTTTCCCAGTAACTTGTGAACTTCTCTGCACTCCAGAGACGTTCCCTTTTGAATATTTTTCCTTGAGAAACTATTGTGCGTTACACCCCATTTTAAAGATAAGTTGAATGGAGAAACTTATGTCAGGTGTTTCCAGGGCACCCAGAACCTGAAATTTGAAAGGTTTCCCATGGCTTTTTTTCTCTGAATGTGAGAGAGTGTGCTTCTGCTCATGGTCAAAGGGGTGTGACCGAAACGGTGTGTGATATACTGCTACGCAGTTCTCGAGTTTGTGGACCACTAATTAGCATGCTTGAGCTATTTCCAACTTTGCCGGAGCCATCCTTCAAATCTGAGTTGTCATGAGTATACAGCAGCATCGTATTTCAAGCCCTATCAGATGATGGTTATGTACTTTGTCACTTTTTAACCATTTAAATTACATTCCTGTTAATAGGATCTATGTTTTAATGTCAGCTGGGGGGGCTGGTGGATTGCATGGTTCATGTCTAGTTGAGTTTTTATGGCTAATTGGGCACATATGTGCTAAACTAACCCCTCTATTTAGAAGTGAAGGATTTTACTAAAAATGACCGTATTTTTATTACAGGCAGCTTCGTTTCATCTGCTTAAGTAGTTTCTTAAACATGAAGCATTTTTCAGTACCACTGTATCTTGATGTGTGAACTGTATTTTTTCAAATGCAGATTTCTTTCACTAGCTTAATGGGAATTCACAGAAATCATAGCCTTTTAATTAAAGCCAATATGTTTCAGCGCCAGACGTGCTGAAGGATTCCAGCGAAGCAAAAAAGAACACATTTCTGCGCTGGGACTGTGCATATGGGACCCTTCAGAAGCCCGACAGAGCTGCCTGATGGAGGATTTGGAAACAGGAAAAAGATGAATAAAAAGAACATCAGACTAATTTTCAGAATAGCTTAAATAATGTGCGTAGTGAAATAATTTTCTACACCGAAGGATGGTTTGATTGAAAAATGGTGAGTCCCGCATAGTCTTCATACTGTGGTGACTAAATCTAACTTCAATCCATTGAAACTAAAAAAGCAAGCCTATGATAGCTCCATTTTTTCCATACTAAAATTGGCCCAAATGACTGCATGTTCAGAGCTAATTCAGGTGGTGTGACAGGCAGAATTTGGAAGCCAAGGAAACAGAGTACTGGAAATTGAAAGGATCATTAAAAACCTGCAATGCACAGTCACTGAGCCATTGTAAGGGCAGCTCTGAGAAAGTCAAGGGCTCGTTCGGTTTTGGTTTTGCCAGACAGAAAGAGCTGGGGACCGGAAGTCAGATGACTTCAACTTTAATCCCCGCCCTGCACTTCACTAGCTGTCGTCCTAGACAAGTCACTTAACTTTGCTGTTTTTCTGCTTTCTCAGCTGTAAAACAGTGATTATATCTTTCGTAACCACCACAGGGTTATTGTGAGGATCCTAGTGAGCTATTGCATATAGAAGCTTCGTGAAAAGTGATGCCAAAGCCTTACTCGCATGAGTGAAATTATTTCTGTGGTTTTGAGCAGCCGTGGCCAGACCGAGGATGCGCTTTATTTGTCATTTCCTGGCTGAAGTGCTTCATACCTGCCCACCGGGGTAGGCACAGGCGCTGCAGACAGCGCTGAAGGAGCGTGTGAATGAACGGATGAATGAATCGATGAATAGTTCTCTTTATTCTGGGTTTATTTTCCCTCTCAGAGACTGGGGCCAAAAAGAAAAAAAAGAAAGAAAACGAAATGTGTGGTTTGGGATTCTTTAGCGTCTTCCACAGGTGCAGTCTGCTGGTCCCCATCCAAGTCCGAGCCACATGTGCAAACACGAACACCGTCTGGCAGACACGTAGTATCGCACGTGCACAGGATGTTGGGTGCGATATTTCTCTATGAGATTTGATTTGGCACATGCGGTATTTTTAAGGAAGCTAGTGACGGTCGTACCCACCCTCCCCCCCCCCAACCTGGGGCCAGTTTGGTCCTCCTCTCTCATCCTGAAGGCCTTTCATGGAGGTTATGGGGGAGGGGTGATGGAGCGGGTCTCCTGTACTGCAGCCCTTCGGAGGAACGGTGTTCATGATTTCCTTCCCTTTCCCCGAGGGAGGGAGGGACAGAGGCTAGGGGGTAATTCCTTCAACCAATTACCTGAGGGGAGAAATGCCTTCCTATTTGCAAGAAGGGAAACCCGGCTCTAGGTTCCCCTGTTGGACATCTGCTTGGGCAGCAGGCTCGCAGGTCTGTCTCCTGGCCCATTGAAGCAGACAAGAGGTCTGGACAGCGATGACGCCGGATGCTGAGAGGGGCAGGCCTGGGCGCAGCCTGCCTGTGCTCTGGTTGTGTGGCCAAGAGGAGCGAGGTCATCGTGGCCAGGTGCACACTGCGGTGCAGGACTGTTGGGCTTGACGTTCTTGCTGGTTTTCCCATCCCAGTGGGTGGCCCACTGGGTGCGGAAGCCTGCCCTGCGGGCGGGCGAGGGAGGTGATGAGATTTGAACTGAGTCACAATGACGTTTTAAACGGAACGGACTCTCACTACGGTGACTCTGAGGGGATGGAACTTGCCTGTGGTCCACTGCTCTGATGGGGAAGGGAGATTTGACAGTTTGCAGTGGAAAGCAGTGATTAGGAGACAGAAAACAAAGCAAACCCAAACTGTGTCATGTTTGTATCACAGTGAGCAGAGACTGTTCCATAAAGTTATTACAGTAAATAAAAACTGTCCTCGTGTGGTTTGACTCCAGTTACTTAATCACAGAATCCAGACTCTGAGCAGAAGAAACCTTAAAGATAATTCCTCTAGGTCAGTAGATTTCAAAAGATGTCCCACGAAGTCTGGGGTGGGGGTGGCAACCCACAGAGGTTGCTCAGGACCCCCTAAGAGTGGCACAGGGATGGGCTAAGGTGGGTTTGGAGGGGGCTTGAGATGCTGAGAAGGTGGGGCTTGTGCTCCCTCCCCACTTTAGCTAGAAAATGTTTGATTTTATCTGCTTTATATGTCAGACTTCATTCTAAGATTACTTGGTCCAAAGGGTTCCCCAAAACCTTTGGGGAAAGGAAAAAAGAAGGGGCTTCCATATAACCTATGCCCCTTATTTCTGAGGTAAGTTAACTGAAGTTCAGTCTGGGAGTGACCAGCCATAGGCCACACAGCCTAGAGAGACAGAGTTGGGACACAGGTCATTCAGTGTGGCACCCTGTCCCGAACAGAAGTTAAGAGTTAGCCTCCTGAATTCAGTGTGCATTTATTAAGCAGCTACTAGGCAGAGTCGTGCAGTAGAATTTTTTCCTGTTCTTCTTCTTTCCAAACGATTAAAGCAGTTATTGCATCCCTTTGGTGCCTTTACTGCCGGAAAAATAACAGCCAGCGGGGGCTTTCTTGGGTGACCTCAGTAAGAGATCTCGGCAAGTCAAACACTATTAACTTTAATGAAGTGGCCTCGATGGTGGGGAGGGACAGCTGACACCGCATTTCCCTGACAATAAACCACTGTGACAGGTAAAAACAAACAGGCTCAAGATAATGTACAGCGTTTGGGAGAGCAGGGCCGGTAACCAATGCAGACGGATGTGATCCGGGCTTTCCTCTAAAGCTGGGTCCCTCCGTCTGTTGTGGATACTTCTAAAGGGCAGGGCAGGGCGATCTCATCGGGTTTTTACAGCAACCGCTGCCTGGGTTACTGTCAGGATGGCCTCAGGAGGGAATTGCAAATACACCTGGTATTTAACTACCCCGGACTTCTCCCGAAGGCCCTCTTCCCTCTGGGTTAGCCATTGAATCTGAGCGCCGGTGGTTTGTTTACCCAGGTCTAGCAACCTGGGTAATGTGCTCACCCTCATTCCCAGCCGCGGGTGACGCACCCGCTGATGTTCTCTCCGCGGGGGCCCTCACAGCCTCCAGAAACGCACCGGAGTCTCATGCTCACTACACAGGCGCTGCCGGGCTCACTCGGTCTCTGCGGCTTCTGATGGAGAACATAGCCTAAAACAGCAAGAACAGCAACAACACCAGTCAGGGTTAGACGGGGTTTGGGGCTAATGCCGTGGGAGGCAGCAAAGAGGGAGTAGTGGTGGGGGCCCTTTGGAGCGCTCACATGGTTTGGCCATTCATCCGTAAGCCCAGATTTCAGGGAGATTAGTGTTCAAAAAGTTTATCTCAATTCCCCCACCAGGCTGTGCCACTTCACAAAATGCCTATATCGTGTCCTTTCACTGGGGGCTGCTTTTAATGTGCACAGTGGAGACGGAATCCTTATAATTGTGCTTTTGGATTTTAAGTCATTTTCCACCTGCATTTTCTCGTTTGATCATCTGAAACCTCCCTGGGGAAGGTCTCTCATAGCCCCGCTGATTTGCCCGAGTTGTGCAGGCAGCGAACCTCAGAGGCAGCACGGGGTGATGGCAAGGTTTACTCCACCCTGATGGAAAGAAAGCTCTACGGGTGTGTGTGTGTGTGTGTGTGTGTGTGTGTGTGCGTGTTGGGAGTGGGATGTGTAGGGGGGGGTGGTAAATAGAAAGCAGAGGGCTGCACTGCATTACTTAGTGAAATCCAGTGTCTTTTTAAATTGTAATTTTTAATCCTCACCTGAGGATTTATTTATTGATGACACAGAGAGAGAGAGACATCGATGTGAGAGAGAAGCATCAGTTGGGTTGCCTCTTGTACATGCCCCAACCAGGGACCAAATCCACAACCCAGGCATGTTCCCTGGCCAGGATTCGAACCTGCAACCTTTCTGTGTACAGGACGATGCTCCAACCAACTGAGCCACATGAGCCAGGGCACGAAATCCACTGTTAACTCCAGAGTCCTGGGGTAGCTTTAAATGTCATGCTCTTTCCTCGGGAGTATCTTTCCTTTACTAAGACAAGTGACAAGTTACCCAAGTACCTGCTTTTATAACAGTAATAATTACTTTATAGTAACTGCCTACTAAGTTAATCACTTATGCAAACACATAATCATATCTTCAGTATTCACATCTGTCCTAGAGGTACTTTTGTTACCTTATTAATAAGCGGTACTCTTATCACTCAGATTAAGTAACTCGCCCAAGGTCAGGCAGCTTCTGAGCCTGTGCTGGGTCTGGGCACACGGTCAAGGGTGGGCAACAGGAAGGAGAGAGCCCCTGAATTGACCAGACTATACATTAATCATAATAAAAATAATAAGAAGAATACTAACGAGCCAACCCCTATACTCAGTTTGACATAGGTCATCTCATTCACTTTGACCAACAGAACCTTCTGCTGCAGAACGACTCTCTACCCCTTGCCCTGTGGTTCTTAGCTTTAGGTATAAAGACCCTTTCCTTCTTTTGTGATTTGGCTATGAAAAGAAATTGTATGTTAAACGCGTACAGCCTTGCTCTGGACACTCCCCCGCCCCCCTGCAATCTGGAGGTGACTGCAGACTGGGACAGAAGCGCACTCCACTCGTGACAGAATGGAGGTTTGGAATCGTCTTCATAGGCGGCAGCCTGCCCAGAAACCACCAAGAAGAAAAACACAGAATTTTGTTTCAAGGGCAGACATGCGGTTGGAGGTGGTGGGGGCCTGCTTTCGGGGCAGCCTTCGTGGAGGGATGTGGCGCGTGAGGTGTGCACAAGCTGAAGGTGAATGAGGTGTGGCTGCTGTAGCCGCAGGTGCAATGCTGGGCGGAGTTGTGAATCGCGCATTGTTTCAGGGGCCCTAAGAGAACTGAGATAAAATTCGTAGTTATTTATAGGTGAAGAAGCTAGGCATCTTTCTAAAAACAATTTAAAATTGATTTGAGAGAGAGAGAGAAAGATCAATTTGTGGTTCCACTTATTTATGCACTCGTTCATTGGTGGCTTCTTGTATGTGCCCTGACCAGGAATTAAACCTGCAACCTTGGCATGTTGGGACAATGTTTTAACCAACTGAGCTACTTGACCAAGGCACCAGGCATCTTTGTATCAGGTCACAAGATGAATTTGGAGTCATTTTACGTCATAGGAACACACTAGCTCACACGGAAGTCACCCTCCCATTCCCCCCCCCCCCCCTGGTGGAAAAGCAGGCCATTTTATGAGGCGATGGGCTCCTCCCCCTGGAGGTCTGCCGGTGCAGAAAGCAAGCTCTCCGGGCTTTCCAAAGATCACCTAGTTTAGCGATTCAGTGAGGTAGGTCATCCTACCTCACCTTGTGACAGGTTGGGAAAGCGAGCCTTAGAGCAGTTTTGCGGAGGACGCTGCCCGTACGAAGTTTGCACCGTGCCTGGCCCCAGACTCTATCTAACTCAAAGTTTTAAAGAAAGAAAAAATTCCCATTGCCTCTTCCCAAACCCTGTAGCTGGGATTGAATTTCCCTGTGATGGAGCCGCTGGGAGGACGTGGGTGTATGAGGACCCCGACTGTTGGGCTGGGTAATGATGACTGTTAATGAGCTTCAAATTAATTAATTAACACTTAAATGTGTTCGGGTCCCCTGGCAGAGGACGCGCGTGGGTAGAGGACACGGAGCGCCAACAACACCCTCCCTGTCCTGCAGCAGGAAAAGGTCTCTCAGAGGCCTGAGCGACTGGGTTTTGTGGGAGCCGCAGGTGGCAGCCTGAGACTCAGAGGCGCCCTTTTCTCTGCAGCACAGCAGCCGGAGGGATGCGCCTCCAGCTCTGACTCTGCTCCAGGCGAACAGCGCAGCAGTGACAGCGACGCTTTTAAAGGAGGGAGGAAATAAGGATGCGTTAAGGCCCAGAGTTGACTTTCCTGGTTTCCTGGCCTTTCTCACCCAGTATTTTTGGATGCAGGTGAAAATCACAGCAAAATAGACAGCAGGGCCTTGGTCACTGGGGGAAGGACCACAGTGAAAAGTAGCCTCAAGCGAGTGGGCGGAGTGTGCAGTGGGGGAAGCCCCTGCCGAGTTAGTTTAAGAATCAGTTGAAGGAGGCTGGGGCGAGTTACAAGTCTTTGAGGCTCAGCTCTCTTCACCCCCCTTCGGCATGGAGCGCCCCCTCCTGGGCTTTTGTTTATTGGACAGAAATGCAGCCCTTCACTGCCATAGTCCTGGTTTCCTTCTGTCACAAGTCATACAGCGCCCTTAGGGTCTTGCCTATTTGGTTTTGTGTGAAGTTTGGTTCAAGGAAGACACATTCACAGGCTTTCCAGAAGTTTGGTCACAGCCGTTCTAGTGATTACCCCTGGTAGAAGCCAGCAAGGTGGGCTGGTTTCGCAGGTATGAGTTTCAGAACATCACAAAGCTCTGCCCTCTAGTGGTCCACTGGGGAACATCCACATTCGGGGTGGGGGGCGGTTAGTGATAACTGTGTTTTGAAAAGAATGGCTGGAGAGCGGGCAGCCTCTGGAGATCCGTATTCGAACACCTCTTTGTGCTTCAGTCACCCTTTTCTGACTATTGATAAGCTTGGACACTGTCCAAGTCAATTTAGACTCTTTTAATAAAAAATGAAGCAATGCATCTCTAAAAACAAAACTTGGATTCCTTGTTCCTGTTCAGCACAGTGCATCTAAAGCCCTTCAACTGGAGGCCGTGTTTGTTTACATTACCCGATGATCACACTGTGGATTCTCAGATTGCATCAGCCTTTGCGCTGTTTTCTTTATGAAACACCCCTTTGGCATCTCTCGCCCTATAACAAGTATCCCTACTTTCTCTTGTGTTTTGGAGAAAACGCCTTCAGTTACAGACCCACCTTAATATTCGATTTCCCCCCATTTCTTCAAAGTGAGGACAGATCTTAATTTATATGGCAAGCTGAACTGTGTGCTCCCTTCCTGAAGTTTTTAACTTTACCCTGAAGTTGACTCTTGCCTACCCAGTGACCTTGCACCCTAATTTTTCCATTTACTTCCTGTACTGCATTTGAAGTGCCTATAAATCACATCTTAGGTCAACCCTTGCCTTAACATGAATAATATTTGTATTCTCGCTGTGAAACACAATTTTACAACAATGACAATTAATTCTTTTGGCAGTCTAGACTTTCATTCTTTTTCCTTTTCCTCTTCTTTTTCAAAGCCCTATTAAATTTCCAGTCTCAGCTCTTGCAGTGATTATCGCTTTAATGCACTAACTTTTCACCCCCGGAGGCATATCTGGAGAATGTCACCTGCGGGGGTTCTAGGTGGGCTGGTCCAGTGGGATGTCGGTTCAAGGTGGAAGTGGGCCCAGTCTGGCTGCGACTCGGAGGCAGAACTGGAAGAAGGGACAGGCCCTGCTGATGGATCCTCACCTGGAACTTGGTGGAGTTGGCCACGAACAGGCTTCAATTAAAGGAGGGTCCTCTCCACATAGGACCCTCCTTTAATTAAAATAACAACATACTTTAGTGATCTTGTAATGATTGGTTTGTTTCCAGAAGCTATCAGGTTGCATGTGGAGAAGTCAGTAGAGCAGAAACAAGAACCACTGACCTCATCTCCCAAGCCCTGGAGGAGGGAAATTCGGCATTTGGCACTGGGAGGGTAAAAGCAGATAGGATTTGTATTTCAATCCTATCTTCTCACAGCTCAGCATTTTCCGAGAAGCTCTGGCCAGTTAGTTCCCTTCTCGCAGTTCCTCCCCCTCACAACAAGCGGTCAGTTGTAGTTTGTGTACCTACTGTTTGTGTCCTCACGCGCTGTGTGTGTATCCGTGTGTTGCATGTTCAGTGTTGGAAGGCTCAGAATTCTAACTACTTGTGCCCTTACATGGGGTGAAATTCACTGAGCGCCTACCCAGGCAGTCAGCAGCGTGGACACATCTCTGGGAACTCAGAACTAGAGTGTCGTGCCTCTCATGAAACCGTGAGCGTGGCCTGACTTGCCTTTCGGGCAGACGTTGCAGAATGTGAAGAGGGAGGGCCCTGCAGTCAGATGACTTCTTTCTGTAACTGTGGACATGCCACTTATCCTTTCTAAGCCTTACTTCTAAAATCTGTAAAATGGGAATAAGAACCACATGGTGTGGTGATTAAGTGAGGTGGTGCATCTAAAACCTTTAGCACACAGTGCTCGGTATATGTGAGTTACAATGATCAGATTGGAGGATCCATTATAGTGGATCAGCTCCTGTGGTAT